CTCTGCAGCAGGGTCAGACTTTATCTCACCTGGACAGATGAACCTCATGTTCGTTCTTGAATAACATTGCAAAAGTGAGTGCTTTCAGTTTGGAGGGAGAGGAATTCTTTTGACTACAGATAATATAATCATTGTGAAACAATATATGCAATAACCAGGCTATGCTCTGCTAGTCCGGATGCTGCACTTTGGCCACAACAACCCCCAGCAGCGCTACAGGCTTGGGGAAGAGTGGCTGGAGAGCTGCCAGTCAGAGAGGGACCTGGGGGGTTGATTGACAGCCAGCTGGACAGGAGCCTGCAGTGTGCCCAGGTGGCCAAGAAGGCCAATGGCATCCTGGCTTGTGTCAGCCATAGCGTGGCCAGCAGGGACAGGGAAGGGATCTCACCCCCATACTCGGCACTGGGGAGGCCGCCCCTCGATGAGTGGGTTCAGTTTTGGGCCCCTCACCCCAAAAAGGCCATTGAGTGACTCGAGCGTGTCCAGAGAAGGGCAACGGAGCTGGGGCAGGGTCTGGAGCACAGGTCTGCTGGGGAGCAGCTGGGGGAACTGGGGGGCTTTAGTCTGGAGAAGAGGAGGCTGAGGGGAGACCTCCTGGCCCTCTGCAACTCCCTGACAGGAGGGTGCAGAGAGGGGGGATGAGTCTCTTGAGCCGAGGAACCAGCGCCAGGCCCAGAGGGAATGGCCTCAAGCTGCCCAGGGCAGGGTCAGGCTGGCTCTGAGGAAGGATTTCTTTGCAGAAGGGGCTGTTGGGTGTTGGAATGGGCTGCCCAGGGCAGGGGGGGAGTCCCCATCCCTGGAGGGGTTGAAGAGTCGGGCTGACCCAGCGCTGAGGGATCTGGGGGAGTTGGAAACAGTCAGTGTGAGGTTCATGGTTGGACTGGAGGAGCCTCAAGGTCTTTTTCAACCTAGATGATTCTGTGATTCTGTAATCGATTCAGAATTCAAATTAAGTCACAGAGGTGGCTTAAAGTGGCCACATTAAGTCTGAACTAATGGTGTGCCACCACCTAAGTGGGATGTAACTCCTTTGGCAGCAAAATGTACACTAAAGTCAAGTTGACCCTGTTGTAGTGGAAAGTCCTTGAATTGAAAATTGTTAGGGGCTGGGCAACTATTTTGGGAAAATGTCTCATGTGCCTGCACTATTGTGTTCAACCCTAGGCATCGCCTTCTGACCGCTGTCAGAATACTGAACTACACAGACCTTTGTCTAACCTGGTACATCTGCTTTTATTTTCTTAAATGTTCTTGAATTCTGTTAGGAAAAGGCTCTTCACTTGAAAGGGTGGTCAGTCACATAGTTATGGCGAGAGAAAGGCAGCATCTACCCTTTCAGCAGCAGCCTTCAACTAAATTAGCTTAATCTGAACACAATTGTGTAGGAGAACCTTGGTAAATTTTACTTTCTTTTGTGCAGTCTAGAAGTGGGGCTTCACCAGATGACCAAGGAGATCTCTGCCAACAAAAGGGCATTTCTGGCATTTGATCTCTGTTTCCCTGCATTGTATGCCCTGGCCAAATCCGTTTGCTATAGCAATGCTAGAAGTAGTTAATTTTTTGTGAAATTTATGAGCTGAGCTGGCTCACTGAGAGGTTGAATAGTGCCAGACCCTAGGGGAAGCCCTGCAAAGCAGCACCCAGGTGCATGGTGACAGCTAGTGGGTAGAGCAGCTCAACGATTTCATGTCCTTTCAGACAGCACACAATTCAGCTCAGGTGACAGGCAGTAACTTTTAAAGCTGTTTTAACTTAATTACTTTGATCCATGTGACCATATTAAGGCCAAAAGCATAATTCCCAAGATATCTTTTGCTATGCTGAAACCTGTCTCTTTTATGAGAAGTGTCACTAAAATTTGTGAAGACCCAGCCTGATAATTATATTATTTTTATTGCATTAAACTAAATCAGAAACGGATTAATACTTAGCATTTGTCAAAATCCAGTAATCCACAGCAGCACTGCTGGCTCAGAAAAACATACCTCTTCCAGTAGTTGTATCCTATCTGTATGCCAGCTTTGAGTGTTTAATTTTCCTGAGATAGCTGCTTTTAGGCAGGGTTACTGTTCAGATAGTGGAAATCTGGTTGTTCAGCTGGTCCCAAATAAACATCAAAAATATCAAAAGCCTGAACCAAAGCAGTGTCAGAGTGAGTAATGCATGGAGAGGTTAACAGCTGCTCCAAGAGCAGGGTGCTGGGTCCCAGCTCTGCACAGGGCAGCCGGGGCTGAGGGCAGAGACTCAGCATCACAAATCCAGGAACCAGGTAGCCCCAGTGTTTAAGTGGCAGCAGCTGCTCCAGTGACCTGTGGGACTACGTAATCCTTGTCCAGGATTGCTGTAACCCACTGCTTGCTGGTGAAGTTTTTGCTGCATTTTCACTGTATTTTTTTTTTTTTTCGCATATGTTCCTGTTCGATCTAGGCTGCCTTCTTGATCAGATGTTATGGGCCTAGGGCTGCTGCAGAAGAACTGGATGTTCAGATCAGACATCCTCTAAGAGACATGGCATGTCTCATGGTGCTACTCTTCAGAGTGCATGGGGTAAAAATGGTGCCATGAGTTTATGTAGTGCCGTAATTAGCTGTGTTTTTATTTGGGTGGGACAGGGATGTGTTAAACACCTTGCCTGTAAAAGTCCCACTGCCTTTAAGAAATGCAAAGCCGAGGACAAAGCCTTGACATGGTAAGACTGTGAGGTGTTTGTGTAATGCTCCTAAATTAGGTGTGTGCCCAGCCTACTGTTATACTACAGGCTAGAAATAGCAAAAAGAAAAAAAAAAAAAAAAGTTTATTGTGACCCATTGGTGCAATGGGGTCTGTATCTCCTCTTAGCATCTGAGAGAGAATCAGACTGTGCCGTTTCTGAGGATAACCCATAGTTGCTCTGATGCCAGTATCCTCTATAGCTGCTGGTTCCTCACTGTAAAGGGTGACAGTGGGAGGCACTGCCAGCCCCTGTAGGAGACATTTTGTACAGGACATTTCTGGAGTGACCAGGAAGCATTGCTGTGCTTCAAAGGGATCTCTTCCAAATTAGCCAAGGATGTTTCTCTTGCCAGCCAAAGGGCAGGCGAGGGACGCAGCCAGGTAGTTTCTGCAGCCTCAGAGTGTTCAAGACAGGTGAAAATCTTCAAGAACTGAAAATAAAGCAGATCTTGCTCTCACACCTGTTTCCCTACCGTGTACTGTCTCGTGAGGAGGGGCTGATTTACGGAGTAGCTCTAATACAAACCATAACCTAGTTGTAGCTGCTTTAGTCTGAACAGTGTCAGCTAGTTTAGCCTTAGCAGCAGAAAGGGGTTGAGAGACAAGATGTTCAGAGTTGTTTCTGAGTTCAGCAAGCTTGGCCCTGCTCAAAGATGGGCACAGGAATGAGTAGCTGTGCATGGAGGCTGTTCTGTCCTCTGCATTCCTTGTGAGTAGCCGAGGAGGTTTGTAACAGCTCCTGCTCATGTGGAATTTGTTGCAGATCCTTTGCCTGCTCTAGAAGTACTTGCTGTGCTTTCAGCCACAGGCATCCTGAGTTCTTATAGCAATGCCTCACCAGTGCAGAGCCCAAGAATTGATGTGGGTTAGTCCCTTTGCATGTTCAAATTGTTAATCTTTTGGGGAAGGGCCAGAGAGAGATATTTAGAAAAGGGATCAGCCAAAGAAATTTGTTACCCAAAGCTATGGGTCAAAAATGCCAAATATGTCAAGTCCTATGAAGATTCCTGTAAAACTCTGGACATTGCAGAGACTGGTCCCTCAGCAGAGCAGCAGTGCTGAGCCGAGTGCTGTGTTGGGATCCCGTGCTGGCTGACAGCTTTGTGCAGTGGGCAGGAGCAGCTCACGAGGTATTTGCTAACTTTGGGCCAATGCTAGATTAACCCCCAGTGCAGCATTTGCTCCCTGCTGGGAGGTGCAATTTTGCAGGAGTGTGGAGTCCACTTGCATCTGCTCTGAAAGTCTGCCTGTGGTGTGAGCTGAGGGAGCTGCCGTTTGGCAAAGGCAGCAGCAAGGACCGTGCTGGGGCTCAGTGTGGGCGCTGCTGTGGGTGCTGCTGTGGGTGCTGCGTCTGGCTTGCAGAGTTGGGCTCCAAGAGGATGTGCAGACTCTGGGATGTGAGCCGAGAAGGTGCAGTGTTTCTAAGATAACCTTGCAGCTGGGGAAGCCTTTCTGGGGTCCCAGATTGGAAAAGGATTTAGTGATCATCCAGCATGCATCTCTCTTGGGTTTCTCACTGGTATTTTTCAGGGGATGATTCAGCTGGGGTTGCTGCAGAGGTGGTGTTGGGGACAGGAGCTCCCCAGCTGTGTCCTGTACTTGCTGTAGCCCCTGGGGGAGAGGGGGCTGCAGCAATCCCACCACTGGGAAAGTGCTGAGGTCTGTGTGTCCACCCTGTATGGCAGACTTTGCTAGTCCCAGAAATCTGCCCTCAGGATGGCCCAGAAATAATCCAAACTCTTTCTGTTCCATTCTCTTTCCATCTGGGAAGTCAGGTAATTTTTTCCAGTTTGATTTAGCTTCTTCAGTTTCAAAGCCAGCTTCAACCCTTTGGGTTTTCTGTGTGTTCATGTTACCCTTTTGCCTGGAATAACCGTCTAAGCACGTGTTTGGATTTGAATATCCAGCCAAAGGCAGATCCTGGTGCTGGCAATCTGAAATTTGTGATGGAGAACTGTGTTAAATTTTAAAAGAAAGTCATTAACTCCCAAGCCAACCAGCTGAATGTGCACTTTGCTGGAGACTCTAATAGAAAAGCAGGTTAAGGTCAATCTCCTGGGGTTTGAATGTGAAGAGGAAAGTTAGAAGGAGTCACTGCCTTGCTGCTGGGAGCCAGTAGAGGAAGGGGCCGTTGCATGCGCCACTGCCACCATCTCTTCCCAGCGTGCAGTTCAGTTTGTAACTTCCTAGTCCTGGAGGTCTGCTCACTTGGGACATTTATTACTGTTTATTCCCCCGTCCTTTTCAGTGGTGCCAAGGTCAAAGGCTCCTGGCAGCTAAATCACAGTTTGAGTGCAGGACGTTGCTGGAGAGAGTGAGGGTCCCGCGTGGGAGTGATGGAGCAACTGGGAGAGCCAGGGCTCACGCGTCAGTGCTCAGGTGATTTCTTTGCTTACTTTGTAGTGCTGCTCTATCTCCTGGTGAAGGATGGATTATGACTCTGCAGGTACCTGGTTATCACCACTGAACCAGATCCTGGCTCTTGGGGGAGATGAGGGACTGTATCTCCCACATGCCCTCTGTGGGGTGTTGGAGATGCCCAGCTTCTTGCAGGATCATGTTTGATCTTGGGGCTCTCTGCTAGTGCCTTGTGCTGCAGGATGGAGCAGACTTGAATCTGCTGGGTTTGCAGACAGTGAGCCTCAAGTCCTCTGGGAGGATGGTGTGGGGGAACTCCCATGGCCATAGAGTCCTGAAGTCCCACAGAGACTCTTCTTTACCTTTACTATTATTTTTTATTTATTTTGAAAAACCCTATCTCATGGGATTCTTTTACCAAAACTTGTGAGACTGCCTACTTTAGATCTTTTACTGTTTGTTACTGCCTTTTGTTACTGTCCTGTTCATCTTTCCTTTTGTCTCTTAAAAGCATTTTGCAATAATGACATGGAGAGGGGAGGCTAGGAGCCTGGGGAGCTCCTAGCAGACAGGGTGGCATGTAAAATACCTCTCACCACTCACTGCATATGCTGGGGAGAGCTGCAGGCTTGGCAGTGCTGGAGAGCAGCAACACAAGCTGTAGTCTCAATGCTGTTGTGGGGATCTGCAGTGGCGGAGACGAGGGCACGGCAAGGCTGGGCTGGTACACACTGCTTGTTTGGGGTACCTGGGACTGATGATCATTTGCTTGGCGTGGCATGTCCTGTGGGTTGAGATGTGCTGTGCTGGTCACTGGGAGCTGGGGATGTGCACTGAAACATGCAATCCCAGACTGTATTTTTTTCCAGGGGCAAGTAAATTTGCCAGGATGAAGTTTTAATTTTGATGGGTGGCAGATGGAGATCACTGAGAGTGTCAGCAAATGGATTCAACTGAACAAATGAGAGGAAGAGTTTCTGATAAGCCTGAAGGGAGGAACATTCTGAAGTGCCTTAGAAATTACCCTGTATCCCTGAACAGGGCCCATCCCACTTGTGTGTTGGTTCCTCGTTGTCCAGGACAGTGCTTTGACACCATTTTTGTGTGTCTGTGGTGCTCAGGCATCAACAGAGCTTCTGGAGGATGTGGCAAGGGATACATGGGTGTTGGGAACAGTAACAGGGTTCTTCTTCAACCTTCCTGTCCAGGAGTTGACAACAGCATTGACTGTGACCCCAGGCAGTTGGGGGCCTCTCTCCTGGGACCCCCATCTGCGATCTTGCTGTTAGACACAGCTATAAGAGGGGTTTTGAGCCTTTGTGAGGCTTCTCTGCAGACCCCAGGGCTGGGATGATGAGGGGTCCCCAGACCCTCCCTGTGGGGAGGAAGGGAGGGCTCTTGTAATATTGTATAATACTGTGACTCAGTTCCTCTCCCAGGCTCAGTGCCAGTGCTGCCTGCAGGGACAGGGGATGAAGGTGAGGATGGGATGAAGGTGTTCATCCCCTTCCCAGCTCTGTGTCCAGAGCTATCTTGCATGCCAGCAGATGCGGTACAGGATGTGACACCTCCAGTTTCAGGTTGTTACAGTTTGGGTGAGCTCAGATGTTGGTGAGCTCTGCTGAAGCTGAAATCCAGACCTGCTCCGCTGGCTGTACCTGTGCCTATGAGAGAGCACAGAGCAGGCCATGAGGATGTGTTTGTAAATGCCAGGGTGAAAATATCTCCTTGGGCAGCTGGGACAGGGAACTGCAGGATGTTGTGGCATAGGCTGCGTGCTTGGCCAGGTTGTCTCTTCACTGGAGAGCCTGCATGTGGTGTGTGGGTGTACTCCTGGCTGCTGGCAAAGGACCCGCTTCCTCTCTGGGACTCCATGTTCCCCTCCTGGTGTTTGTGGGTTTTGTTGACTGCATTAGTTCCTACCTCACACAAAGCTGGGTACTTGTTATGGGCAGACATGCTTTTATCACAGAGCCCCAAGAGCTGGAGCAGCCTTTTCCCTCCTGTGTCCCCCATGTTCCACCAGAATTGCCTGAGCTTGCTGCTTTGAGACCCAGTTGAAGAGGCCAGAGCCAACAGCACTGGCTTCCCCAGCTGCCTGTGGGTTACCGGGTCCTGAAGGATTCGGGTGCTCTGAAGGCTCCTGGGAGCTCTGGGGCCACCAGGCAGCCAATAGTTTAGTTGGTGGCTCAGGCTTGCAGGGTTTGGACCACCGTCTCCAGGATGCATCTTCTGCTTGCCTCCCACACCTCTGACATTGTCAGCCTTGCTGGGAAACTGGGATCCATCTTTCCCCTGTACTAAAATCCAGCAGTACTGTGAGAAAATACAGATGTGCTGGAGCTGCAGCTGAGCCGCGTGCCAGGGGTGACTCCCTCTGAACACGGGTCTGTGTTCTGCTGTGACACTGCATCTAGTGTGTTGCCATCACTCCTCTCCTTTCTGTGCACAGGCAGGGCTGCCCCAGGGGATGATGGTGTGGGATAGATGTGCCACGCTGCCAGCATGTGCCATGTTTGTACAGGGCTGGCCAGGGGAAGCTCAGTGCAAGAGACCTGGCAGTGTGGTATTCTCAGGAAGGCTGGGGCAAGGTGGAGACATACCCCTGTGGCAGGTAAAACCAAGGGTACTGCAGAGCCTGTGATGTCTCCTGTGTCCCAGCTCCCCACCCTGCCATGTCCTGTTCTCATCTCCTCCTTTCTCTGTCAGGGACAGGGCAGAGTCCCCAGCTGCTGGATCTGGAGTGTCTGCCAGTGCTGGTGAAGAGGCGATGCGGGGCTGTACGATCCTCCGTGCGGAAGCAGAGGGGACCATTGGGGAGCAGAAGGAAGATCAGCCATACACAAGTGAAGGGGAAAGGTAAGTGATGGGCATGTGAGAGGGGCTGTGGGCCAGCCAGGGGCTTGGCCCTGGTCAGGCCCATGTGGAGGGGTGACCATGGCGAGGAGTGGCAGGGGTGTGTGTCCAGCACCCTGGACTCTACAGGAGATCTTGTCCTTTTCCATCCCAGGGAGGTCACTATATTCAGTATTACTTCAGCTGGATGCAGGCTGGGAAATGGAGGTGCCTGCACAGCACCGAGAGCAGCCATCCACACTGGCAGCGTGTCTGTGCAGAGCCTGTGCTGGGCTGCACCCTTGTCTCCTGACCTTCACTTGTCAGGGCTGAGCTCCCCCATTGCCCACCTCTGCCTGAGCCCAGGCCAGCAGGGACATGTCAGTCAGCCACTTTCACCCTGCAGGGCTGACCCAGGCTCACCACAGGCCCCCAGGTTGTTTTGGATCCTGTAGCCTCACAGCAGTGCCACAAGGAACAGAACTCATTGAGCGGGGCATTCCCGGCAGCATGGGGTGGTGTGGGAGCAGGTCCACTCTGCTGGAGATCAGTCCCCCATGGGGCCCTGCGCCGTAGGGAGCAGGGCTGCACAGATTTGTGGATGGGAAGCAGAGAGTTCTGGGACAGCCCAGCATTTGGGGAGGGTTTTTTTTTTTTTCAAATACACCATCTCCATCATTCCTCCACAGTCTCCAGAAATGGTGCTTGGCTCTGGGTGTCTTCTGGTAAACTGGCACAATGTCTGGAGCTGGTGGGTGCATCACCAGCTCTCAGGTGATGGAAAGTGCTGCTCTGGGGTCTTGCAGAGTGACTCCAGAGCCCCCCTCCATGGGGGGCTGCGTGCCTCTTTCCTTTTTTCATGAGAGCCAAGCAGGTAACCCCTGCCCTGCCATCCCTCCCTTTCTTAGCTCACCTCCACAGACCAATTCTCCTGCACCCTTTCCTTGCCTGCAATAATTTCCCCTCAGTGCTCTGAATGCTGCTGTCCCTTATTGCTCCGGTGGGACAGTTCCCTGAGCAGCTGAGTACGTGCCAGCAAACCCGATGGCACTCACAGTCACGGGGATTCACTCACAGTCACGGGAATTACTTACAGCCTGGCGCACTGTGGAGAAGAGGAAACGTTGCAAGGTTTTTCCTTTTTCCCAGGAGCTCATTCCTGGTTCATCTGCCGTGGGACTGGTGCGGGTCTTGGGCCTGCAGGTGGGAGCAGAGGGCTGCCTGCATCCTTGCACGTGGCTGTGGCGTAATGCTCAGGCCTGTTTACTCAGGCAGGTGCAGTCCCTGTTCAAATCTGCGGGGCCAATGGGAGCTGCGCCGTTCAAACATGCAGCGGTTGGACGCGTGTCCCATGGAAACCCGGCTGCACGGCTGCCTGTCACTCCCTGCTTAAACGGCTGCTTGGCTCTCCCGGGCTAGGCAGGGAGGGCTCCAATTACTGCCTAATTAGAGGTGTCCTGCCATGGAGCCCGACAATGTCCACAGAGTCTCGCTCTGCACCCACCAGGCTGCCCCTCTGAGAGCTTCTTTCTACCTCACCACATTCGGTAAGCATTGAGCCTGCAGCTCCGGGGAGCAGGGGGTGAACACCGTGCCCAGGGGATGTGGCCGTGGTGGCCACTGGCAGCTGCAGAGGGTCATGGCCAAAGCCCGGTGCCGTAGGAATGGGCTGGAGAGCTGCTTCCTGAAGGCATTAACACTGAGCGGCAGCCTGCTTGCTTCTGCCTCACTGAACCAGAATAATATGTGGCTCCATCGAGCTGGAGAGCTGGGGAGCGCCCTGAAGCCAAGCTGTGGCTGCTGTGGTGTGCTGCGGCAGTCAGCTGGATGCCCAATACCCAGGTCGTTTTGCCCCCTGGATGGGCACAAGCTGGGATGCTGCGTAGGGCTGGCTGGAGCTGTGGCCCCCATTACAGCAGGGCCCCAATTCCCTCCTTTGCTCCTTGTGGGTCTTTCTGTGGCTGCCTCAGTTTTGCCACATGGACCTGAAGAAGCCCATGGGCAGTGCTGGCTCGGATCTGTGAGCTGGAGCCAGCCCAGCAATAGCTATGAACCCTGTCCACCTGCCCTGCGAGCAGGGGAATTTGGCAGCAAATGTCATGGCCATCGCTTGTGGTGTGTGATGGCTTGTCTTATGCAGAGGGAAGCTGGGTGCCTCTCCTGGTTGCCACTTTTTAAGCAGCAGTTTTCTTTCAAAGCTTCTGCTCATTCTAGTGATGAGGGCAGGCAGTCATGCAGTGTGCTGTTAAAGAGGCTGCAGGGAAGCAGAGAGGGTTACATGAGTGGAGAGGGACATCCCTTTCCTGGGCAGCCAGGGATGCTGCTCCTTCCCCCCTTAGATTTTTAACCATCAAACTGCTGAGGACAGTCTGGAACTGTCTGAAAACCTCATGGTTTTTGTCTGTAGGACTTAAGCATGCCAAATAATATGAGTTTTGCGGTGCCTCTTGGCTCTGTAGCCAAGCCTGGGCCAAGCATCATCTCTGAAGCCGCAGTTCCCTTCATGGGCTGGTGAGATGTGACGCCGTGGGCTCTGAGCAGGAGAGCAGTGGCAGGACGGGGCTAGCACTACCCTTTCCATGTGGGTGACCAAGGAGAGGGTCTTCAGAAGGGCTGGTGCCAGGGCCCGAAGTTGCAGATAGTGATCTCGGGGTGCTCTGCCTTGTGCACGAGGACCTTCTGCCCAGGCAGTTATCTGACACTGCTTTCTGCTGTAGGAAACCCACTGGTGTGTGCACTGATGGCTCTTGGCTGTGCCAGTCAGGGCAAAACCTGCATTTTTCCTATAATAAAACAGAAAAACATTTAAAGAGCAGAAACCCAAATATTCCATTTGTCAGAGATCATCAGTAAGAAACAGATTTTCCTGCCTGCTAGGTCTGCTCCCAAAGGACAACATTCACATATCCCCTCCCTTAGCCTGGCAAACTTCTCTCATGGGTGGGAACCTGTTTGATTACCATCTTGTGCTTGTTCATGCCCTGCTCATCTTGTGCCAGCTTTGTTCATCAGCTTGAACTGCGTCTCCTGGCCCTGTGGGGTCCAGATGGATGGGGCCTGGGCACCCTCCCTGCAGCAGCCCTGCGAGCCTAGCTGAGCCCTTCTCTTTGTGATGGGGTGTGCATCCAGGAGCTGCATGTGGGTCCTGTTGTGAGATGAGCGGTCTGCTTTTTTCTCTCTCTCTGGCCTTTCTCTACACCTATTTCCATTCATATTAACATTTATTGAACATACGTGACCTGGACAAGCTGTGTTGGGGCCTCTCTGCTGAAGCTGTTTCCCTTAGTTCATGCTAGGGATGTATCAAAAGAGATAAACCCAAGGGATAATGTTTCTCTGACCCTTTGCTCTTGGAGTGAGGTGGAAATGCAGCCCAAGAACTTGTCTTGACAGGGGTTGTGCCCTGGTTTCTGCCTACCCAGGTCTGGAGAAGGTTACTGCTCCATGCACTTGAGAAAATTCAACTGCTGCCGCTGAGCCGGTCTGTCCAAGTGCAGATGGTGGTACAGCAAATCCCTTCCACTAGCTCAGGCTCTTTCCAACAGCAGCTTCCCTCTCTGATCCTGGCCCTGTACAAGTGCTGGAATTGCTACAGAGCCGAGTGCTTCCCCGGCATGAGCAGGCTGGGACCCCTGTGGGGTCAGACAGGCTGGCTGGGTGTGCTGGGGTCTGCGACTTGTCCCTTCATGTGCTTTGGAGATGCTTCGGATACATTAATAGAGAAATGACATCTGTTCCTCATGGGAAAGAAAGGACCTTTCCCACTGATACTCCCGAAAACTTTCTACTAGGGGCCAATTTATAGTACTTCTGAGAAAGGCAAAACTGCCCCTTTTCTCTGCTCTCCTCTCTCTGGTGCAGCCTGTGACACAGGGGCCATGGGCACTGTCCCTGCACCAGGAGCAGCACTAATTCACATTATGCAGGAGGCTGCGGTCCTGTCTGACCCCATCCCTCATTGTGCAGAAGCCTTGGCCCCATGTGCTGCCTTGGGAGCTGAGCAGCCCCAGCCATCCCCAGGCCAGGGCTGGGCGTAGAGCTTCCTCCCCCCGCTGAATTACCCAGCACAAAAGCTTCCTTTCTCCTCTCCAGGGCCCATTCATTCCTGGGCTGACTCCTCGTCATGCTTGGTTAGACAGGCGCAGTTTGCTTTTGTGTTGTAACAGTTGTGACATACCGACAGTGGAACAGCAAGAGGGTTCCCACAGCCTCAGAGATCTGGAGATAGCAGAAGGGTTAAAGCCTTGGTGCAAAAGGCTGGGGTGTCATGATGAAACTGGGGGACACTATTCTTGCTTGTAAATCACTATTACCTTTAATAGAGCTGTCCTGATTTACCCCACCTGGCTTTTGTCTTAACTTTCCCACCTTGCTCTCACTTGCACAGGTATAAGTGCACGTAAGCCATGTGTTTCCACATGTGCACAGATTTGTGCTCTCAAACATGCAGATGCACACACAGACACCTGTGAGCTGGAGAGGAATTCGAAAAGTTTCTGTTTTCGAGTGAAAAATGAGTTCTTTTGACTTGCTTCAGGTTAAAAAATCCTGTAATATATCCCCACCCCAGCAAGCCTAAGCACTTGGGTGTGTCTTTTGCAAAATTAAATGTTGGGTTTTAGTTTGAAAGATGTTTAGAAGTTTGTAAATAATATTTACTGTTTATTTTGTTTGTTGTGTTTTGTAGGCTGGAAAACAAGTGAAAATGGTATATTTTGCTTTGGACTAAATGAAACGTTAGGCTAATGATGCTTTCAGTCTTTTGATTCTTGAGGAGGATTGAGAAATATTTAGTTCTGGGTTGGTCTGGAATGATTACACAGATTTCAAACCCTGCTTCACCCTTAAAATCTGCACATCCTATCCAGGCTGGCAGGCAGCAGCTCCCAGGGAACCTCTTGGGAAGGTGTTCCGTGGGGCAGACACCTTTGCCTGAGTGGGGCCAGCGAGCCAGGGGCTGGCAGCCTGCTCCCCCTGACCCTGACAAATGCTGTCGGCAGAGTCTTTGTGCCAGTCTGAGTACT